AATTAGGCGTCTCATCATGATTACGGTGGTGCGACAGGCGTAAATCAGGCGTCTAATCGAGATCGACGGGTCGAAACGGACGAAAATCCAGCGAGCCCCAGCGTCAGTCACGAGACGCGTAAACACGCGTCGGGAAGTGATCTTGAAGCTGATCCACGTCCAAATGCAGTTGACCCGGAAGATCCTGAAGTCTGCATCACGGAAGGCGGTGATCTCTACGCGGAAGATGTCGAAGGTTAAATGGCAGTGCTCCCGGAGTTCACCACTGACGAAGTCGTGATCACGGATATCCAAGTTGGCGATCCTGGCGAAAACACGCCGGAGGAAATCGACCGGCTGCGGAAGATCATCTGGCGCCGGAAGCACTTGCTTATTGGAAAAGGCAATGCCTTACCACCGGCCGCAAAAGGTGCGATCTGCGACATTGACGTCGGAAACGCGAAGCCAGTCGCTCAGCGTTGCCGTAAAGCGGCGCCGCAGTACCGCGAAAAGCTGAAGCAGCTAATCAAGGGGCTCCTGTCGACCAAGATGATCAAGATCTCAACGTCCCCTTGGGCATCACCGATCGTGGTGATCGTCAAGAAGAACGGGGTCGACATCAGACTCTGTATTGACTACTGTAATGGGCCTACCTTGGCTCACTACTACGGCTTACACGTATGCGCACGTGTATGAGGAAGCGTAGGTTTTTACTTGAGTTAAGTATACTCGAGATCCACGAGTATACTTTAAACAATATAAAGACTCCAAGTAGCGTGTTTTGGTAAAAGATGAGAACTGCTATTTTTGTTTTATGTTTCTGACTTCCTCTAAATGTAATATTCTAAGATAGGAATCTGCCAACGGCTGGTTGGCAGAATTCCAATGCTATGCATGTCGCTCATTGGCTAAAAGATGCTGCTTTCAGCCAATAGGAATCCTAAGTCTCTATGGACCACCCGTCGTGGTGGTCGTAAATGTATGTAGCATTTGGTGTATCTACACCAAGGTCGAGAAAGTCTTTCGAACCTCTAACAGACGTCGTGTCTGTTAGAGTTACAGGTGACTGTAGCCACTTGCGCGTGTAACACTGTTACACCATCCCCCCTCAAGGTTAGACGCGCCGAGTCACGGCACGTCAACCACCATTGACCGCTTGGTCAATGCGTGACGCTGAAGAGAGCGCGCTCGTAATGGAACGAGCGCGTCAAAGTTGAAGACCGCTGGCGCATCAGCGGAGAACCTCTCTGCTGCTGAGTAGCATCCGCGGAAACGTGCGAAGCGCGTCGCTGCCGCGGGGGCAGGACCCACTGCCTGCCCTTGAAGTGCCTTCGGGCGCTGTTGTTAACAACAGCGCTCGTATTGCTTTCCAGCGCGTAGCGCATGGTGGGCTTCATACGCCTTCACCATGTCCGGGACGTCTTCGAGCAAGACGTCCGCGGCTCCCATGTATCTTGGTTGGGAGGGAATCCTCTCCAACGGATACGAAAACGAACCGGTTGCCTGTTCATTCTCGGGATACTGTGACCAACAATCCGCTCAATAATCCATCGACTTGAGCCGTGTGCGTCACGAATTGGCGGCGGTGGTGGTGGAAACACGCCCCGTGTATGGTCAACTTGGTGTTGACCCTGATCTCGCGTCTCCCCACGACTAAGTTCCGGTCGTGGAGTAGTTCCAGAGCGCTGAGTTCGGCGCTCTGAAGTATCCTCAGGTTGCGGCGGCCTCCCAGGCCGCCTCGATCGTTCCGGCCGAGCTGGACCATTAGCTCGACCCGCTGCTCCAGCGCGACTTCGCGCTGGTGAGGATGACGGCTTCCGCCGAGTCTTCTGTTTCGGTTCAGCCGAGCTAGGTGGCTCGTGCTGCCGGTATGGCTTCAGCCGCCCGACGTAAAAGGTCGGATGGAGGCGCATGCTAGATGGAATGTCTTGCGTGTAGGCGTTGCCATGTCGTGCCAACACCGTGAACGGCCCGATGAAGCGCGGAGCGAGCTTGCATGCCCCGAAGTCGGAAACTGCATGTTTAGGCAGGTTTTGAGTTGCTAACAAAACCAATGAACCCTTCTTGAATTCATTAGTGTTTCCCCTACCAACATTGGCTGCGTTCAGCTTCTGTCGGTCGACAGAAGCTGCAATAGCGTCTTGGACAAACCGAATGACGGCTTGTCTGCGCTGCACGAAGTTGATTGCGTCCGAGCTGAACTCGTTCAGCTCGTTTCTAGCAGTAGGCCCGGCCTCTGCGGTTGTCTGTGCCCTTCACAGACACGTTCTTCTTCTTCTTCTTCTTGCTCTTGACGCGTGCGTCTTGTTCTTTTTGCGCGTAGTCGCGGCTGACACTGTGCAAGTGTCAGCGGAATTCTGCGGCTGCTGCGTTGCAGTCGTAGATCCTCCCCCACTTAAGGAAGGAGCCACTATCCCGAGTAGACTCGGGAGGCGTGGGTGCCTGATGGCATTCACGTAGAACGATGTATGCCCAGTCGAGGCATGCACCGATTTGTTGATGGCGAATTCCGCCATCGGCAGGCACTCGCTTCAGTGTTGGAACGAGTGAGCGTAGTTCTTAAGCACGTCTACGAGCACGCGGTTCACGCGTTCGGTCTGCCCGTCCGTCTGCGGATGGTTCGCAGTCGACATCGAAAGTTGACGTTGACTCTCAAGAAGTGTAAACACTTCTTGCCAAAGGTGTGCAGTGAAGCGCGGGTCTCGATCCGACACAATGTCGATCGGCATGCCATGGTGTTTGAACACCATGTCAACGAACAGACGCGCCGTCGGTTTCGCGGTCACTTCAGCGGGTACCGCAGCAAGATGTACCACCTTGCTGAAGCGGTCAACAAAGACCACAACGCCCGTGTTCCCCTGGCTGTCCGGGGGAAGACCGAACACAAAGTCCAAAGACATGGACTGCCAACACTCCGACGGAGTCGGCAGTGACTGCAAGGGAGCCTGCGCGAAAGGCGCAGGCTACACACGTTGACAAACCTCGCAAGCACGGACGTACTTGCGCACCCATTTGTACTGGTGGGCCCAGTAGAAGTATCGCGTGAGAAGAAGGTATGTCTTCTCACGGCCCGGATGCCCCGCAGTCGGTGCATCGTGATACTCGTACATGATCCTGAGTCGCAGGTCATGGTCATTGGGCACGACAACGCGGTCCGCGTTGTCGTTGCCCACTGTCCCAATCGCCCTTGTAGGCCCGTGGATCTGAACAACCAGGCCAACGTCGAATGTCTAGTCAAGACTCGGATCGAGCGTCCAACTAACATGTTGTAACCCAGATCCAGGATCCGCAACAGAGCCAACGCCTCCTTCTCAACCACGCCGCAGTTAAGCCCGTTTGACTTCAGGGTGCGGCTGGTGAACGTTACTGGATAGTGGATCCCGTCGTGCTCCTGCATCAGGGCAGCCGAGATGGCCCACTCACTAGCGTACACGACCAGTACCGGCAACAGGTCTGCGTCGAAGTGTCGGAGGATCGGAGTCGTCGCCATCTTGTCTTTTAGTTTGGCAAATTCCCGATGAGCGCTAATCCAACGCGGATCTACACTGCTTGGATCGTTCGCCTCCTGATTCGAAGTCTTCTGTTTCACAGCCTTGGTGGATCCAGAGTTCGGGTCCGGTAAGTCTAGATCCACCATGTCAGACGAGGTCTGCTCCGTTGGATCTGGAGTCGTGGAAGCCATCACCGCTTGGATCCGGCCTTGATTCTCCGGGTTGCTCATCGCGGCGTAGTCCACTTCACGTAGCTCGTAGAGAATCGGAGCGTAAATCGCGTAGTCCTCCAGGAACCGACTGTAGTAATTCAAACTACCCAAGTATGACTGCATGGATCTAAGCGTGCCTTGGAAGGTCGGATCCGTTAGTGCCGAGAGATCCTTGGGATTCGCCTCCAGTCCTGCGTTTGACACGCGATGACCGAGGTATTCCATCTTACTCTTGCCCCAGAAACTCTTCACCACGCTAATCGAGAGATTCTATTTATCGCATGAGTCGAGTAGTGCGTCCACACGTTCACACAGGTGATCCCAGGATCCACCGGTTACCAAGATGTCGTCAATATACGACCGACGTCCCAGTACGGATGGTTTGCCCGGACCTTCCGGTTCTCCCGACTTCAGATCCAGATTCAACGCCTCCGATCCAGATCCACGCTTGGATCCGAGTTCGCGCTCTGATCCCGATCCATCTTCCAGCCGCGGGATCCGAGTGAATCCATACAATGCGTTGTCTAGCATCCGCTGATAGATCTGGGGTGCATTCTTCAATCCGAAGGGCATCCGGTTCCACTCGAACAGTCCGAACGGGGTGATGAAGGCGGAGATCGCACGAGCCCGATCCGTCATCGTCACCACCCAGAATCCACTGGCCATATCCAAAGAGCAGTACCAAAGCACCTTGTCCAGATCCTCAAGCAGGTCGTTGATCAGGGGCATCGGGTAGACCATCAGCCGGGTCAAACTGTTAACCAGCCGGTAATCAATACACAAACGTATGTCCACCCCGTTCTTCTTGATGATCGCCACAATTGGAGATGCCCACAGTGAAGTCAAATTCTTGATGATCTTGGCTCCAAGTAGACCCTTGATTAGATCCGACAGCTTCTCATGGTACTGCGCGGCTTCCTTGCGCACCCGCTGAGCAATGGGTTTTGCATCACCCACATCAATGTCACACACAACTCCTCGTGCCGCGGGCGGCAGCGCGTTGCCTTTGCCAATCAGCAGGTGCCAGTGCCTCCAGATCCGCCGTCGAAGTCGATCGATCTCTTCCACCGTGTTAACATCTGGATCTCCCACCTGGATGTCTTCAATGGTCACATGGTCTGTGGTCGAGGTGACTTCGGGTAGCACCGCCATCTCTGCTTCAACATCTTCGGCGTGCAGATCCCCGCTCACATGGTCGCAGACTTGCTCATCCGCATCAGCATCCCGGTGCCTTGGATCTATGGTAGTCGTTGGATCTGGTGTCGGACCGGATTTCTGCACCGTCTCTCCATCTGGATCTGCACATTGCCCCATCTCCCCATGCGAAACTTGAGGTACCACTGGATCCGGGGATTGCTAAGGAGGGCCCTCATCGGGAGGGCCCTCGTTACAACCAGGGCATTTGGGTAAACAGATGACAGTAGGTAACGCCTCAAAATAGGCAATTAGAAAACCCAAAACCAGTGACCCACATTGACTTGAGTGGGTCATCTACACATGACCTGATTCGTATGCTTAGGGTCAGCAGCACGATTGACCCGATTTCGCTGCTGTGGGTTAACTTATCACTTATAACTTGTAGCCCGAGAATTAAGCAGTGTCGGGTAGTGCTTCCGCCTTAACCTGAATTCATCGTTGTTTCTACTGTTCACCTATTGATAATGGCCAAAATGCACCCTTGAGGCTCAGTATACTCGTCCGCTTTGGCTTTCTCAAAATAGCAAACGAAACAGCACTGCCTTCACTGCCTTCACTTCCAAAGTTGGTCCAAGAGTGCGTCCGCTGACCCCCCCCCTCGAATCTCCATCCTTCCTCAGCTACTTCGCCCCTACTAAAGTCCATTTAAGCTATCGATTTGGCATTCGTTCAAGGACATGCGTCTGCCGGGTTGGTATCAAACCACCTCCTATGCAGACGCAGACCCACGCGATCTCCAGCGGCGTACCTCTTCTACAGGCCATGTAGTTGACCAAGCCACCTCCTATGCCGGCGCTGACCCACGCGATTCTGAGCAAGTGATCTCTTCTGCTGCTTGTGTCGCTGATCTAGGTGAGGATAAGTCCCCAGCTCAGTTTCCTTTTGCTCAGTCGTCAGGCATTTTTTCAGCCGCATTCGCGTTGGAACGTGACCCTACTGTTGATCTCGACCTGGCAGGGGTCGACTGGGAAGGTTATCTATCTCATCGATTCCGAAGAGGTCGAATCCGTGGCGAACCACAGCGGCATATCTGACTGCTACGTGTACGATGGTTATGACAAAGGAATTGAAGAATTCGCATATCGTGACAGTTCGATTTGTTCAGACTTCGGGATATCAAGATCTGAAAGAGATTTATTGCTGTTTGAGTACGACTTCCCTGATTTCAATTTGGATTATAATTCTGACGATTCTGATAGCTCGGATATTGACTCTGATGGGCACACCCGGCTACTCTGCGTCTTCACATCAGTCATTGTGATGTATTGATAATGGATGGCACGTTCAAAACCAACAAGTACGATTTACCACTTTAAATGTCATATCCTATTGAAGGTTGCTGGTCTTGGGTACTGTGTACCAGTTGTACCCATTAACCGGTTAACCCGAACCGGTCCAATCCGAACCCACGTTGATTATGGTGATTACGGTAAGTTGTTTACGCCACCGATGATTAGACGAGTAGGATGATTGGATGAACACCGGTGAGTGATGGTTGATTAGATGCACTAGGTGATAGGACGCAGGGTCGCGTGTCTATAACAGTAGGGTGTAAGCTCCAACAATTCAATCACTTTCGAATCTTCATTCTACCCCTCAAGTGCCTTCGCTCCGGTCCCGCCGTCTGCGACGTCCCTCCCTCCGCTTCGTCCGAGCTTCGTGTCCAAGATCCATACCTTCCATCAGGTTATGAGCCCAAGCACCATGTCCTCTGCCCAAGACGCCTCGACCAAGGTCTCCATTGACAAGTTCAACGGGGACAACTACGCGACGTGGAACCGCTACATGCGTGGCGTGTTCCTGACCAAGTCGACGTGGCATGTCGTGAACCGCGAGACGACGCCGAGCTTCACGGACTCGCGGGCCAAGGACGACTACGTCAAGTCGAGCAACATCGCGTTCGGACTGATGTTGCTCCACATGGACGCGGACTACCACCATGTGGTCGACGACTGCGAGGAAGCGTGGGTTGCGTGGACGCGCCTGAAGACGCTGTACGGTGGTTCGCAGAAGGCTGGACGCATCTACCTGAAGCGCCAACTCTTCAGCATGGAGATGTCGGAAGGCGGCAACGTCTTGCATCATTGCAACGAGGTCCTCAACCATTGAGGGTTGCTGGTCTTGGGTACTGTGTACCAGTTGTACCCATTAACCGGTTAGCCCGAACCGGTCCAATCCGAACCCACGTTGATTATGGTGATTACGGTAAGTTG